CAGCTGTTCCGGCATGAATATTTTCTTGCAAGATTTTCTAAAATGATTGTCTGGAATTTATAGTTATCAACTTAATCATACCTAGTATCAGAATCTCTTTAGAAATCTAACAGAAATATAAACTTAAGAGAGAATATTTTTACAAACTTAAAAAATGTAAATTTTAAGTTTAATTAAAGGAAAATAACTGAAATCACAAGACAAAGAAACTGATAAGACTAAAAATTTTTCAAGACACAAATCTCACTCTTGACAGGTCCATCAAATTGAGAAAATGAAGACACATTCTATAACTTATTTTCTATACATATATCTGGATCATAACTATAAAGATTGGATATCAATCATAATGATGATATGTCTATCTCTGTTTCTATCCACATGTACCAAATAATTCAAATGTAATTATTGACTACGTCAAGATCCACCAAAAGTTACTTTTGATAATTTTAAGAAGTTGGTCTTTTCCTTACTGTTCCAAAGAAGCTCAAAATTGCCACTGAGAATACTGGATAATCAATAAACCTTATTAGGAGAAAAAGCTTTGTGTTCAACACATCAATCAAATATTCATAAAACAAGGCAAGTAATCTGGTATTCAACTACTGGTTTTCACATAATTCACTATCTGGATAATATAAGTTGTAGCATGGTTAGCAATTGCTAGGCAGACTTTCAGAAGTTGATGAATGGCTCTCAAGAATATTACATATCTGGATGGGAGAAAATAGAGCTATTTTGAGGGGTAAGAGTACTTGTTCTCGTTTTTGGTTTTTTTTTGGTTTTTTTTTTTTTCATTTAGATAAATCCTTATCCCAACAACTAGCACTAGAAATCCATTGTTTATCAATTCATCTGTTTTTTTGTTTCATTCAGAGAAAAAGAATTCTAATTCTGATAACTCCCAGTGATGTTACAGGTTTAACAAGGATGGCAAAAGCTTACAAAAATCAGACTTTTTTTCCTAAGGATTTAGTCACAGACTATACATAACCGAGAAAATAGGAAAAATGGACTTTATCAGCAGGCACATCCTAACAGGATAATACAAAGCTTTCATCATAGGTCTAACTTCCAAGTTTTACATATCCAACTAGGTCATTTCCCTAATGAGACACTGGACAAAGAAAGTATGTCTCCAATTTTCTCTCTATACAAAGTGGTACAATATCAGGGAAATTTCTCCAATGGTAAGATTTTTCTATCCTAGAGTGAGTGTTGTGACACAGCAGGGAAACCACGTGAGATACCCACATCCTATATCAGAGTCCCAGCATTCCACTTCCCAGTCAGCTCTCTTCTAATGCACCTAAGAAGCAGCAGATAATGGTTCAAGTACTTGGGTCCCTGCCAGCCACCTGGAAGACCCAGATGGAGTATCTGCCTGTTGGTTTTGGCATGCCCCACGTGTAGCTGTTGCAGTCATTTGAAGAATGAACCAGTGCACAGAGGATAACTCCACTTTTCAAATAAGTGAGTGAGTGAGTGAGTGAATGAATGAAAGAAAAAACATTTTCTATTCTTTTCCATTCAAATAATCATTTCAGGGAAAACACGCATTTCTGGCAGCATATTCTAAAATAGCCAATTCTTGAAGAAATAATCCTACAAGTTAGTTGGTTGTTTTTTTAGTAAGATTCACCTGGAAGGAACATAAAAACATAACTTCCAGTGTTTTTAGGAAGAAATCAAATAATCCTTCAATTTTATTTTGCTATGATCATCTGCTCAAAATTCATAGAAGGAATAGTCTACTCTAACAATTATGAAAAACTATGACTACCTCCAGAGCCCAGTAGATGACAGAACAACTGAGAAATGAGCGTGAGTTATCTCCCCACTCGATCCCTAAAATAACTCTCTCCCTACATTTAAACTTCATAGAAATCGGGGTTGGATCCAATTTACTTAAGCCCATGCCTAAGATAATACTTGGAAAAGAGCAAGTGCTCAACAAGTTATTTTTTTAAATGAATACATTTTATAGGAACAGATAAAGCTTGCAACCAAAGCTCTTCCAATTACAAACATATTTGCTGGGACCAGCGTTGTGGTGTAGCAAGTAAAGCAGCCACGTATGACACAAGCATCCCACATAGGTGCCAGTTACTGTTCCAGTTGCTCCATTTCCAATTCCAGCACCCTGCTGATGTGCCTAGGAAAGCAGCGGAAGATGATGCAAGTGTCTGGACCCCTGAATCCACATAGGAGACCTGGATAAAGCTCCTGGCTTTAGCCTGGCCATTGCGATCATCTGGGAAATGAATCAGCAGATGGAAGATCTCCAACTCTGATTTTCAAGATAAATAAAGAGATCTTTTAAAAGTAAAAATATATATTATATATATATATATATATCACTTAAATTCTCTAATCCAATTTCAGTTTCTCACAACAGCCAAAGTAAGAAGAAAGACAAATCTTGAGCATTTCCAATGTGCTGAAATCAGTGCCTGATAAACACAGATTAAAAAGGAAGAAAAAAAAATAATAATAAAGTCCCTAATTGTATACCCACCAACAGTCTACAATCTAGAGAACAGGCTAGAAGAGGTAAAATGGGGGGAAAAAAAGACAAAATTGAAATATACTTTATTGTTTACTCTTCATACTCCTTAGTCAAAACTTCATTGACTACCAAGTCTCAGCAGGTAGAGCATTTTAGTTTTAAATACTTCTATGGCCAAGAGTTTTTTATACTACATCCAAGCCTCAGAAATGGCCAAAGAAGTATTAATCAAAGAGTTCCAATGCAATACTTTTCTACACAATTAACCTCCAATTATAGTATGTCATTCTAGCCATCAGAATAGACACATAAATACATATTCTTTATATAGAAGAATCATTAATTTCTTTTTTTTAAAGATTTATGTATTTGAAAGTCAGAGTTACCCAGAGACAGGAGAGGCAGGGAGAGGGAGGGAGGGAGGGAGAGAGGGAGAGAGGGAGAGAGGGAGAGAGGGAGAGAGGGAGAGAGGGAGAGAGAGAGAGAGAGAGGTCTTCCATCCGATGGTTCACTCCCCAATTGGCCACAACAGCAGAGCTGCACCAATCCGAAGCCAGGAGCTTCTTCCGGGTCTCCCACACGGGTGCAGGGGCCTAAGGACTTAGGTCATCCTCTACTGCTTTCCCAGGCCATAGCAGAGAGCTGGATTAGAAGTGGAGCAGCTGGGTCTCAAAGCGGTACCCATATGGCATGCTGGCGCTTCAGACCAGGGCATTAACCCATTGTGCCACAGCACTACCCCCAAATCATTAATTTCTTAAACACTGAAAATGAATCTATCAGCGCTGGCACTGTGGAACAGCAAGAAAAGCCAGCACTGCCGGCACCATATGGGAGCCAGTTCAAGACCTGGCTGCTCCATTTCTGATCCAGCTCTCTGCCACAGCCTGAGAAAGCCATAGCTTTTGGCCCCTGTACCTATGTGGGTGACCTGGAAGAAGCTCCTGGCTTTGGATCAGCCCAGCTTCAGCCATTGAGGCCATTTGGGGAGTGAACCAGCAGATGAAAGTGCTCTCTCTCTCTCTCTCTCTCTCTTTCTACTTCTCTGCAACTCTGCCTTTCAAATAAATAACCAGTTCTCTGCTGTGGCCAGGGAGTGCAGTGGAGGATGGCCCAAGTGCTTGGGCCCTGCACCCCATGGGAGACCAGGATAAATACCTGGCTCCTGCCATCGGATCAGCGCGATGCGCCGGCCGCAGCGGCCCGCCCCCCCCCCCCATTGGGAGGGGAAACCCGGCGGCAAAGGAAGACCTTTCTTTCTGTCTCTCTCTCTCTCTCTCTCTCGCTGTCCACTCTGCCTGTAAAAAAAAAAAAAAAAAAAAAAAAAAAGCTAAAAAAAAAAAAAACTACCGTAAACTCCAATAGCTCCAAAATTCTTACTTTAATATCTCAGATATTTCATAACAAGTTGTAATCAAGTTTTTTAAGAACATTCTGTTTAGCTACCCACCTAATTCAGGGTTGGCACATAGCTTCTTCACAAGTTGAAGCCCCTCCCTACTTTCAGGCACTACATTACCACATGCAATATACTTCAACTACGTCTTGATTTTTTTTTTAAGCCATTCTATCTCCTACCATCCGATAATATGACAAGTTTAAACATGTCCAGTTTATCAAAATATATTTATATTGATGTTTTAATGTTCTACACAATTATTTCTCAGAAGCATCGAAAATTAGACTCATAATTAACCTGTAAGTCCTTACAAAAACGTCATTTCCAACAAGTAGAAAAAAATGAATAGCATTTCATGCTATGTCTAACAAGAATCAGCAAATGCGATACAGGATACAACATCATGACTCAGAGTGAAACTCAGCACATGAACTGACAGTTTCTGGATCATCACTGTTCTAAAACAGACCTTCAGTTTTTAAATAGTATAAAAAAACAGTTTATTTCCAAGTCCATGAACTCTTTTTCATTAAGAATGTAAAACATACTATTGAGAATATTTATATACATAAAAAAATACAATGTGTTCAAGTTTTACCTTGAGATAATGAGATATGCAGGCCTATTTTAAGGCATCATGAAGAAAGCATTAAATAAAAATGACAGATTAAAGATATCTGTTTAATATTTTAACATGTCCTGATTTTTTGTTGTTGTCCTTTTATTTTAACTGAAAGTAAGAAGAGAAAAAGAAACAAACGAGAGAAAGAGAGAGAAAGAGTAAAAGAGAGAGAGATGGAGTCTTCTCTCTTCTGACTCACTCTCCAAATGCCCATGATAGCTAGGGATGGACCAGGCTGAAGCAAGGAGCCTGGAACTCCCTCTCCCATATGTGTGGCAGGGCACTCAGCATCTGAGCCAACACCTGTGTCCTCCCAGGATATGCATTAGTAGGAAGCTAGACCAGAAGCAGAGATGCCTGAACTCACACCAGAACCCCAATTTGGGATGCAGGCTTCCCAAGCAGTGGCAGCTTAACCCACTATGCCACAATACCCAACCCCCCTGATGAGGTTTAGATAGATAAATTACCTCACAGGATTACTGGTCAAAGACACTCGGAGGGACTCCAGGCATGTGACAAGTCTCTCATCCGCTGGCCCCATTTTCAGTTCATGGATGAATTCCTGAGGCGAGATCTGTCGGCTGCTCTTAAGACTTCCCTGCAAAGTAAGCCACAAGAAATTTAAGTCACGGATGAAGATTATCCATGAAACAAATCTAACCCACCTCTAGCAGAACACAACTACTATGATTAGCATTATTTGGGGGCATGACTTCCTTCTAACCATAAATCTATAAATCCAACATCTGCAGATCTACAAAAAGTAGTAACGGAGTATCAAATGATTTCAACATTAACATAATTGTTTTTTTCCAATGCAAAATGTCAGAACAATTAAGTAATATATTTTGGGCACACACAAAATGAAAATCAAAACTCAATTCAGGAACTACTGTATTAAATATATTAGCACCATAACTAGTACTCAAACAGTGCTTTACACTTTGTGTTTCTGTGTGGGTGCAAACTGTTGAAATCTTTACTTAATATATACTAAATAGATATTCCGTATATAAAGATAATTGACAATGAATCTAGACGTGAATGGGAGAGGGAGCGGGAGATGGGAGGGTTGCGGGATGGGAGGGAAGTTATGGGGGGGAGGAAGTCACTGTAATCCATAAGCTGTACTTTGGAAATTTATATTTATTAAATAAAAGTTTAAAAATATATTAGCACCTTGAACAATACTGGAAAAGCTACTTAGTCATTAATTCATTCAATTACCATCAAAAGCCTAATTCTAGGCACTACAGATCCAAGAATTATCAAAACCTAAGTCTGGAAAGACAAACTAAGCAAGGAAATAATTGTCAGTGTAGTCTGATTCTTGTCACACAGTACCAGGGTCCAAAGAAGAAATGTCTAACTTGGCAGAGATTAGGCAAGACTGAATCACAGGAGAAAGGTATGTGAGGGTTTGGGAGACACAGAAATTAGAAAGGGATACTTTCTAGACCAAAATATAACTTAAGATACATGCCAGATCATGGAGTGATACAGCACTACTATGCAATTAGCTTTCCCAGGGGGAGATTTGGAAGAACTGCTCTACTGCAGTGTGAAATATCAACTCAAAAACTTGGAGTTCACTCATTATTCCATAACGATTGTTAATATCTCTTAAAGAAATGCTAGACACTGTTCTAAGTACCAAGAATAGAGCAGAGAAGTAGAGGAAAATTCCTGGGGGCATGTGGCTTTATGATGGAGGCAAGGGATGCAGAGAAGATGGAAATAAATGTGATAGTGAAAATATGCTGTATGTTAGATAGCAGTAAGCACTATATTGAGAAATAAAGTAAGCCCATTGGGGAAGCTGGAAGAGGAGTAGAAGTATGAGGCACACAATTTAAAATGGGGCGGTCTAAGGAATTCAAGGGCCTCAAGCTCAAGTGTGTGAATGAGGGCTCTGCAGGAATTAAGAGAGCTAACCACACAGTCATCTAGGAGAAAAGCTGCGATAGAGGGGACTGCAGATTTTTTAAGCCACCAAAAAAAACTTGGACTTTAATTCTGAGATCACAAATGAGAAGGCATATACACAGCCAAGATGAAAAACAATGAGGATGTTGAACAATAATGAAACTTCTGAATTATATCTACTTAAATTACCGATAAGACATCCAAGGGCCAGGATAGGAATTGCACTCATACATTTTCAAAAGCAGATTACTTAAGATGACAGGAAATTAGGTTTGTTCTTTTTCATTTATTTTATTAATTTGCTATAATGTTCGAGAAAACATTCCAAGTAATGCAAAACAAATTAGCACTGGGCAGACTGCTATTGATATGAACAAAAAATAGCCTAAGTGGTAATTAAAGAAAAATTCAATTGCAAAAATCTTAAGAGAATTAGAAATGATAAAGGAAATAATATTTAAAGGAGAAATGGTGAGAGCAGTGAAAATAGACGTCTAATTTTTTTAATGATAGTTACTGGTATCAAAAATAATGTATTCAATTTCCACTGAGATAGCATGTATCAATATCTTGTTTGCGTTTAAATTACTAAATTTTTGCTTGTTTAGCACAGAAAATTGGGAAAAAGCGATGGAAAGAAAGGTGCCTTCACATGATTATTAATCCAATATTTCTCCATTTTTTCTCCTCAAGAATATTCTGTAGATATTTGTAATTAAACACATGCTTTACTTGTGAAAACATGATACCTATTATCTATAGGGTACTTTTATCATTGATCTGTATACTTCATGAAAATATCCCAATATTAACAAATAAGTTCTAAAGAATGTGACTTTTTCCTGCCTACAGATTATTCATATAGCATTACTTCCTAACTAGCCCCCCATTCTTCACCATATCAGTTTCTTAAAAATCAGTTTCATAAAAATCTCAACTTCCCTATGGATGCTGTCAGGTCAATATTTTTGTGCAAAATATATCAGTAGATGTTAAAATAAATGATCTCTTGTAGTTCATTCTAAATTTATTATTGAAATAATTGATAGTGGTTTTTTCTTCACAACCAAGATGTTTTTCTTCAACATACGGGTAAATTTCAGGCAATAATTACTTTTTAAATCTAAAAATAAGCAAAAGTACACTTGGATAAAAGTGGTATTAAAAGATAAAAAACCAAAAGCCACCTGTTCTATCTCAAACCTCTCTCACAAAGGCAATCACTTAATTCCATAAGTATTTTTGCTGATACTTAGTATGTCCAAATCATGTGCTTATTCTGATATTTTTAAATTTTCAATGTTATGAAAAATAAGGATTATCCTAAAACACTGGAAGTTCTCTCCATTCTCGGAATATTTAATACTCAATTGAACCAAAAGATAACCAGATTCCTGTTCTATGAGTTCCTTATGTCACAGGAACCTCTAAAGATGAGTTCAGGCATCCAAAAGCCTAAATAATGCTTTGGTTCATTTTAATAAAACTTAACATCATGTCTCTGATAACAAAATCTTCCAGTTACTATAATGTCCATGTTGATTAACCTGAATGCCTTCCCTCTAAAATTGAGGACAGGTGAACTATGTCTGCTCTTCACATTCCTACTCAGGATGGTACCAAAGATCCCAACAAGCACGGTAAGACAATGATAGACAAACAGGTTGGAAAAAAAGTAAAACTATTTCCAAAGGACATGATTATCTATATGAATTTAGCAGGATCACAGAATAAAACTTCAATGTGTAAAAATAGTTTGCATTTTTATTTCTAAAAACTGCCAGCAACTGGAAAATGAAATTTCAAAACAGCAATAAATAACAATAAAACAATTAGGAAAATTTTTAACAAAGACAAGACCACTAGACAAAACTATAAAACACTGTGCAATTGGGGCCGGAGCTGTGGCACAGCGGGTTAATGCCCTGGCCTGAAGCGCCATGCTGGTTCAAGACCCGGCTGCTCCACTTCGGATCCAGCTCTCTGCTATGGCCTGGGAAAGCAGTAGAAGATGGCCCAAGTCCTTGGGACCCTGCACCTGTGTGGCAGACCCGGAAGAAGCCCCTAGCTCCTAGCTTCAGATCAGCTCAGCTCTAGCCGTTGTGGCCAATTAGGGAGTGAACCAGCGGATGGAAGACCCCTCTCTCTCCTTCCCTCCCTCTCTCTAACTCTTTCAAATAAATAAATCTTTAAAAAAAAAAAAACTGTGCAATTAAAACAAAAATGAAAGGATGGAGGAAGGAATGAGGGAGGGAGGGAATGAGGGAAATATGTGCTTTAAGTTGTTTATATGAAATAATGTAATCTGTTCTCTTTATATAAATAAAACATCGTGGATGGAAGTTGATGACAACCTAAATAAAGAGGTTGTATCATGCTAATGGATCAAGAAATTAAATTATGAAATCCTTTAAGAAGTACAGAATTTCATTTTTTGAAAACTAATCTATAGATTCAATATAATTACAATCAAAATATTAGCAATTCTTTTTGGAGAAATTAAAAAGCAACATCCTAAAATTTATAAGGCAGGAAAGGAAGGACATCTATAATAGCAAAAGCCATTCTGCAAAAAGAACAAGGCTTTTGCTCTCAGGTTTCAAAATTTACTATAAAGCTATAGTAACCAAATTAATAATGTTAGAATAGTGCCAGTGGAATTCAGCAAGGAAAAAGAGAACCACATCAACAAATAGTTCTCTAACAAGCAAACATTCTTATGAAGCAAAGTGAACCTAGACCCTAGACCTAAATGTAAAGACTAACACTATGAAATGTCTTGGCAAGGACAAAAATTCTGACTGCCTTGGCGAAGACAATGATTTCTTAAAAACAAAAAAAAAGGAGTAACTTTCGATTAAAATATTGATAAGTTGGAGTTCATCAAGATTTATATCCTTCACTTTTCAAAAGGCCGTTTTATTAAGAGGTTTCATTTCGTAACTTAAAGATAGGCTCCAAACTTGGGCAGGGGGTGGGGGGTGGGGAGGCAAGTGGTATCTGTAATACACGTTAAGAACTGCCTTGGGTTAGATTTTCCCTACATACAAGCTAGGTTAGCCTGTTAGTGTTTCACGGAAGCTGAGGGAAAAAACACAAGACTCTCGGGTTACACACAAAGGACTTCATGCACATGTTGGTTCTCCAGCCTCCAAATCCAACAATGAAAATATCATACCCATAATAGACGTGAGCATATGCAGTCGACTGCCACCACAGAACACTAGGCTTGAGGGAATTCACCATTTTCATAATGAGCAGTAACAAATCTTACTGCCGAGAAGGACATATAATCTCTAAAACTGCTCACTGTAAATACTACTATGGTAAGTGGGCTAGGAAATGAGAAGTCAGGCATCACATTTGTGGCATAGCCAACAAGATACAGACAAACTCAGGGCTCATGACAGTCTGCCTTTTGTAAGGATAAATGTATCTCATAAATGATGTATATTCCGATTATTTTTAAAAGCGCCTTCAACTCACAAACAGCTCAATTAAAAACAAGTAAAAGACCTCAGTCACAAAAGATAATACAAACAGTCAATGATCACATGGAAACCTGTCCGCAAAAAAATGCAAACTAACAACACAAGTGAGGTAACACGACATACCCACTTCTTAACTGGAACTCTCCTACCCTACTGATGGAGATATAAAACAGTATTGCCA